TTATTAGCACTGCCTTATCGTGGAAAATACTGTGTTTATAGGCTGACGTTTCATGCAAGTCCTTCAGAGGAGATAGAAAGGGTGGAGCGAGTAATACACTCTTTACTTGCAGGTTACACTTTACTCTGTAGGGCCCTGAGAAAACAACAGGGAAATGTTGAGGTCAAGGAATTAATAATTTTTATTTAACATGAACTGATTTCGCGAGTAGTGTTCTTCTGAAAACCTTAAACATCTTCAGCTTACTCAGCGCCCTAAAACATAAAGTGGGATTTCAAACTCTAAAGTCAGTAAATCTCATTGCCCCTCTCTGCTCTCAAGAAAAGGCCATTGCCTGAATAAACAAGCCCGCTGTATATTTTCTCTGATACTTATGTTTTACTTTTGCCTATTCACCACTGCCAATGCAGTGAGTGCTTTAATTGTTTTGCTTGAGCGGATCCTAAGTCGCTCTGTTCCACATGCTTCTGCGACAATTCTCCCGTACTTCTGCGTGGGGTGCCTTGTGAAAACGCGGCACCTAAACGCGATAGACGAGGAACACAGCGATGATTGTAAAGATAAACGATGCAACCCTCCTGCCACTGGTGCAAGGCTACAATGCTGAATTGTAGAGGCCAAGTGGTGCCAACACGCTAAACAGTCTTCCATACATGCAGTAGCCGTATGCACACACAGTGCAAGCTTTGAACAGTCAGATGCCATGCCAGTTAATTATAAAAAGGCGCTTGTTTCAGATTGTGTGCAAGTCCTATTGAGGCTGTGTATTTGAATACTGTATGTACTGTTGGGTCCTTTGTGAGTGCTGGCGAGAGGCACAGTGGACGCTGCTGTCCTGCTGCTGCCCAGCAACGAGGTCAACGGATTGGAGTCGGGAAGCTTTTATGCTTAGAAGAATGTTCAGTTTACAAAAGACAATGCTGATTCTCTCCCCCGGAAAATGTTGTAAACAGTTCCCGTATTAAATTTACAACACGAATGAATATGATATATCACCATCGACCATGATCAATTCACTGCTGGGTGAAGGCCTTCACGAGTTATTGCAATCCGTCAGGGCCGTGTGATGCAACACATTAACAATAAATGCCTTTCTTTTTTTTCCAGGAAGGCTTTGCTTCAGCCGTACAATTCTTTGAGGGTCATGCGTTGGGATTTTTGGCCAATTTCCATGATAGTTTGGCTTGTGGGAGGAAACTAAATAACCATAAGAAACACCTCGAACGAAGGATATAACAAATCTCGACAGATGGATTTAAAATCAATTGCTGTCCTGTCAACTCTTGGCCACCTGGCAGGCTTAATGCTCACAAACAAAAGCTGCTATGGCTATTGGCTGCTCAATTAATTGAAAGACTGTAGATGCATTGACAACAAACGATGGGTAAATGTTTCCAGATTTAAAAAAAAGTATTTCTCACAGCGTACAGGAAACCGAAAGGTCACTCGATACCTGGAACGGAGTTTACAACTGAATTCATAAAATAAGTAATCCTGGCTAAATACAGGGCCCAAGTGGGGACACGTGTGAGAGAATTCCTAGCAATAATTACGAGGTATGACTCAGAAGTTGCTTAAGCTGGATGCCAGTTTCATTGGAAAATCTTTAGGAGAGAGTCGATATTGCAAACTCGGCAGGCTGTCAACGCACCGACACAAAAGGTGAAATGAGTGAAACAGATATTCAGGACAAGGGACACATCGACGTTTTTTTGATGACTTTTGCCTTTATTAAAAAGTATGTGCAACATCTAATACCCACACCCACGATTCTACTGAACAAATAATCTGCAGGAAGGTGAAAATGATACATAAAAAACAGCAATAATAGATGAATTTAAAAACAAATGTAGTCCCCAAAGTAGACCATTCCCCAAGAAAATGCATAACGTTATTACAATTAAAACAATTAGTGTTAAAACTCAGACTTGTATTGTTTCATTACTGCAGAAGGGGGGAACAGGGGACTTGCAGCATGCAGCGGCAGTGGCGTACCACGGGCTTTTTACTGCCTCGACCAGAGGTGACCACATCATGGGGCCCTCAACGATGAGACGCGGGGCCAACTCTGGGATCCATCCCCATGCTGGCCCCACCACCTCATTACCCGCGATAGATAATTCCCGTTTTTATTTTCTTAACGCAGGCAAGCCGTACGTAGTGTGAAGGTTAAAGATTCGCATGTTTCTGCATGTTATATGGACAGTCCCATTGTTTACAAGGTCATAGATGAATTTAATATTCTGCGGAGTTAGTAAAAGTGCAACGTTTACAACAACTATGTTTCTGTCGTCACCCATTTCTATTTCCAATTCAATCGTCGAAGTCAGGTTGACCCACGTAAGAGGAACGAAACGGTCCGGGTACAAATACTGCCCAATCTCAAAGGGCAAGGAGTACTTTAATCGGGGAGTGCCGCTAACACGATAACATGTTGGGATCATTAACATTCGTGGTATTAGCTCCACGTAGGAGCACGCTGTTCAACACGAGGAGAGGAGCACAGGAAGGCTCTGAGTTGTATCCAGGAGGGAAGGTGCTGCCCATACCCACGGGACGACGCCGGCTGATGAGACATTAACGACAGAAACCCCACCCTGGCCGAACAAAGCCGAGCGGGACAAAGATGAGGAAAGCCAAAAAAAATGGCCAAACAAAAGCAGACATGGCATACGATCGCTCGCTTGCATAACAAATCACAGGTGTGCTACATTATCCTCATGTTCAGATGCACAGGAGCCCAGCAGTGGCCAGTTGCATACAATTCAGTTAAATTTAGCCTTAGTTCACACTGGTATATATTTAATTTGGAAGCCACTGGAGCTATGCACTTTTAAATCAAGATTGATAACTAATATATTTATAAATGCTTTTTGTATTTAGTTTGTTGTCCTTCCCCCGCACCTCCGATTAGCATGGTTGGCTACGTACAGTGTGGAAGACGTTCAACATACACACACACAGAGCAAACTAAGGGGAAATACTTTGGGTGTTGTATGAAAAAGGCCATAGGGCTTCTCCCGATACCACCCGACACTTGCCCACCCGCACGTACGCAGAGGTGTGTGCCAACCAGATATCAATGAAACATTCAGTCTCTACAAATGCCAATCACGGCAACATGTTACAATATTAGTTTAGTGTATTTATTTCCTCTCACGTCTAAGCTCCCCAACTTCACCAACCCGCACTGACCAGTGTGGTGAAGTATGGGTGAAATAACCCCCGCGACTTGCATGGCTTGGGAAGGCCCTCATCCAGTAGTGGATTGAAAGAAGGGGCTGTTCATGTAGAGTACAGGTTTAAAACAAAATAGCATCGTAACTTGTTTTGTTTCTTCAAGGTAGTGCTTCGGTGGATTTATATTGCTCCAGCTCATTGTGTCGTTGCCCAAGAGTGTGGCTGGTTGGGTGGTTTACGGCCTCATAGAAACGCAGCCACCTCACTCGCCTGCCCCCCACACCAGACAGCCTGCTGCCTCCTGACCCTCCAGGCTTGCGCATCGCCACGTCACTGCCGCCTGTTTTAGCTCGGAGCTTCTGCAGACCCGGCCATGCTTCCAGTTTCTCCAGAGGTTAGGTCCGTCGACCCCAAAATTGGAGATCTGCACGGCCGCGGATTTCTGACGACCGTGGACCATTGTATCGGCACAGAGACCCAGCGGGTGATAACGCACGGCTGTGCCGACGACGGGGCACGTAATTGTGCAGTGCAGTACACAGGAACTCCAATATCCCAACAGTGCAAGGCTAACCACAAACAAAAAGCTCGCCTGTCCTGCAGACAAAGCAATTCCATTTCCTAAGTAATCACCGTAAAAGCACGATCCGCGAGGGTCAGCCACCGGTACTCCAGAGCATTAGTACAGCATTCATTAGCCAAGGAGGACGAGCATTTCATTACGGGGATCTGGGTCAAGACGGCCTCTTGGTCGGGGGCAATTTTAGGGGATTCGGCACTTAACGTATTCGATGCATGACTCTGATCGCATTTTCATTAATCATGCCATCCAAGGGTTGTGAACAAAGATGAGCTTACTGGAGCCCTTTTAAAAAAAATGCCTCTCGTACAACGCAGGCAGTGATCCTGTACGGAAGACCCCGGGCACTTTGGACTGACGCTCGCAGCTCTTGGCAGTTCCTCCTTAGTTGGGCCCTCAGCCATTTGGCGTACACTGTATGCTGTAATCTAAACGTCAAGTGTTCTGTTTTAAAAGCCTGTAAAACATGGTCATACAATACAACACATGACCAGCATGAAATTTGAGCTCATTTCATTTACATCAACAAGACAAATACAAAATTAAAGTAATAGTGGAAAAAAATGATACATAGCAATTAAATTGATTTCGGATTGAATGCTTATGCTAACATATATCATTACACCTATTGTTAATCACAAATTGGCAAAGAAATAACCCAACCTGTAAAAAGAAAACACACGTAAAGAAAAAAAAAACTATGAGACATGAGACGCATGAAACAAAAATGTGTCGTATATAAATCATTATATTCCCTTGGCTGAGAAACAATTTGTTAATTCATTGATGTAATCCCAAGTGATGTGATGTTATAGTGTATTAAAAAAAGGCAAAAGGCACAACTGCAATACAATTTTAAAACAGCACAATTTTCGAACCATTTCAGATATCAAGTGGTTGTTTATCTTCATGAGCACACCAACGATGAAATTTGCATTGATTTGAGAATGGTCATCGGGAATCTACTGTGTGTGCTTTAAGAATGGTCACTTCGTTTAAAGAAAAAATAAGTCAAAACAAGAGCTGTTAATTTTAATTACTGACATTTTTTATAATTTATTTACGTTGGTAAAAAGTGACTCAAAAATCTGCTAGTTTCCCTTTTTGCCGAGGCAACTGCCTATCAGCAAGCGTGACGACGGTTTAAAAATAAAAAAAATACTGAGTGCTGCACACTGCTCTGCAGGAGCAAACATAATTGACGATAACAACTTAAAGAAAACCCCAAAACTCACAAAAATCAGGCCACTTTGATGTGTATTTTAGCACCATAAATTAAAAGGCGGCAAAGCAGCTGATGAACCCACAGCCAGCACACTCAACCCAAGCACGAGTAATTAGCTTAATCCCTGCAACGCAGATTTTAAGTGCAATTGTCTGGTAAGCATTGGGGTCCAAGCGTGAAAAGCCGACCCAGGGAGTCCTCGAGCAGAATGAGACCATCAGAGAGGTATTGGGGCTGCTCGATGCTCCGGTGGATAAACGAGAACCAGAGTTCAGTGACCACGTGGCCAATTGGCAACAAGCATTCACAGCTTGGCGAGGCATGTCTACTTATATATTTATATATAAAAAAGAAACCTGTTTTCACTTTCAAAAAGCCTACATTTTATTGCAAGAGACACGTGACAAAGCTAACGCAGACGCCCTGAGGCTGCCGACGGGTGTGTTGTGTTTTTTCTGGGCCTCCATCGCTAACCTAAGTGCGAGCACCCATAGCAGGCGGCCAACTTGTGAGAACCCAATCCGAGCGGCCCACCCGTCACACCCACTGCTGCATCGAGCGCTTGCAGTAGCGGATGGGCTTGGGGGCGCCGCGCCTCCTGATGAAGAGCACGGCAAGCAGCGCGATGACGACGCAAAGCAGCAGCAGCAGGCAGATGATTAGAGCCACGTGGTTGAAGCCACCTTCCACCTCCTCCACCACCACGTCCACCTCATCCTCCACCTTGTTCTTGGTCACGTCTTGGTCATAGTAGTCATACACGTCGTCCTGTCCCGTGCCCTTGCCCCGATCTGCATCTCTATCCCTGTCGGTGCCTTTCTTCCGCTCCCTCTCCCGCTCCCTCTCCCGCTCCCTCTCCCTCGCACGCTCCCTCTCCTGCTCCCTCTCTAGCTCCCTCTCCTTCTTCTTTTCTCGTTCGCGTTCCCGCTCTCTCTCTCGCTCTTGCTCCCGTTCTTTCTGACGTTTCTTCTCCCGCTCCCTCTCCTCCTCCTCCTCTTCCTCCTCGCGTGCCCGCTCCCTCTCTCTGTCGCTATCTTCCTCCCTCTCTTTGTCACGCTCTCTCTCCCGTTCTCTCTCTCGCTCCCTCTCCCTCTCTTGCTCCCTTTCCTTCTCTTCCTCCCTCTCGCGTTCTTCTTCTCTTTCCCTCTCTTCTTCCTCCTCCTCCTTCCGTCTCTCTTCCTCCTCACGTTCCCTCTCCCGTTCCCTCTCCGTCTCCCTGTCCCTCTCCCGATCTCTCTCCCTGTCTGCGTCTTTCCCTGTGTCCGGACATCCCAGCCAGTCGGAGAGCACTGAGCGCGGGTAGCCGGGCTCCACCCTGAGCTTCTGATTGTGGAACTTCCAGTAGAGGTTGCCTTTCACGAAGTACGTGTACACTGCAATGAAACACAGCGTATTGCCGTTAAATACAGTGCCGGTGATTTGCTGAATGTTCCAATTTCAGTGCCACAATTTAATAAAACATTTTTTTAAATGTTTTAACAATGCGGTGATTGGTAGCACCTCTCGTGGCTGCAGGGGCAACATAAACCCAAGATAAAAATATACAGATACTGTTTGAAAGACATTCTTTCTGACATGTGTGAATCAATGCATGTATCCCGACTTTAAGCAGTGGGTGAGTCTATGCATCGTCTCACCAATAGGACGGACCCACAAACAAGCAGAACCTCATGTAGAATGTTCTGTTGTTGCCTCGTACTCTGCCCTCTGTGTGTATTTTTTTGTAATTTAATGTATTGATTCGAAGCAAGCGATCACAATAAAAACCACTCAACCGTTAAATGCTGCCTGTCGAGGCCACAGTGACAGTCAGCAATACGCAGGCACACACACACACATACACGCACACATACACGCACACACATACACACACGCACACACATACACACACACACAAACACATACACACACACACAAACACACACACATACACACACACATACACAAACCTGTTTGCGCATACTCTGTGCCTTTTATGGCCTTGAATGGCATTCTGGGTCTCCGGAGAGACCAGCATGAATATTTGATTGTAAAGTGGCCATCATAAATATTTAAGAAACAGTTTGTACCCTAATGGAAGGCATGATCCATTGTGGCATTAGACGATAAGTGATAGCATGTACATACAGGGCTAATGTTGCGTGAAAAACTACTACAAGCCAATGACGCTCAATAACGTCCTAGAGCCACTGAAGAAACTCCTCCATGCCTTTGCAAGGAAGTAAAACGTGGAATGTTTTGTGAATCGCAGAATACAAGGCGCAAATGGCAGTTGTGATGTGCAATTACTAGCACTATGAACTTGGCATCCTGAGTTTGATTCCTGGGCATGGCTAACATCAGAAGCAAATGGTATCAGAACCAGTCCAGGGCCACCCCTTTCACCAACTCACACTGACCACAGCGTGGCGAATTATGGTCAAACAACCCCATGACCGACACGACGGGGTGCAGGGCTTCATGCAGCAGTAAATTGACAAAGAGCTGTACATTATTAACATGCACTATTTATGCAGCATCATAACGATGATACCATTGACAACAATAACATTTACAAGAGCCTTACCAATCACACTGCAATTATAATGACCACACCAGTGAAATACGAATAATACAGGGCGGCCAATTTATAGATACCCCACTGATTTCTAATTCACCTCTTACTTTCTTCTCAACAGCAGGAGATTGTGACAGTGATGGCTCCACGTCTTGCAGAGGGGAGTGTTAGAATATGTAATGAGTGCATTCAGATCAGTGGAAGACGTGCAGAGGCTTCGAAATAAAAATGCTATTTCACTGTAATTTCTCCCAATTATTTTCGTTGGATATCCATAAATGGATCATATTGTACTAATAATATTGAATTAGTGCAGTGATTATATTACTATCCGTTAACATTGATGATGTAACATTGATGAAGATGATGGTAATAGCAGACTAATTCCCATTTGCAGGCTGCTACATCCACCATACATGACCATATACTGGGCCAGCCACCACTGGAGGTCCCCTCGGCTCAGAATCAGCTTGTATTTATCCCGGAGATATTGTATTAGCTATGAAGCTGTTTTTTTACAGATGTCCAGTGGGACTTTAGCAGGGTATTGGAATGGATTGAGCCGAGATGTGAGACCATTTGATTTGCTCAGGCGTTCAAGTGTCATATCTATGCAGATCTTAAATAATCATGAGGGTGATAACGTACTGCTCTCCGAGCCGAGGAAGGCGGCTTGCGGCGACGATGGTATCCCTTCCCACACGCTGATGGACTTGGGGTAGCCGGACTCAGCTGTCAGACTCTCCTCGTTGAACCTCCAGTACCTGTGAACGTCACAAGCAAGGATGGTCAGCGTGTGCCATGTCTCTCCGGTCCACAGCAACCCACGCCCCCCACGAGACCACGAGTACCGACGCCATCATCCATCATATTAACACTTGGCAGGATCCTTCTGAACAAAAAGTCTTGAGGCTCAGTGAGGCTTTCCTGGACAATTAAGCTAATCGTCTCTGTCATTTCCCAGTATTCTGATTGGCTGGAGGCTGCGGGTGGGCACGCGGGTGGGGGGGGTAGCCCCTGCGGGGAGGATTGCACGAGGGGAGGGGGCGCGCTGATGGCCGTGATGCGTATGGGGGCACTGGGGTGAGGGGGGTCGTTGTGGGGTGCGCGGGTTGGAGGGTGCACGGTGGGGCGGTGCGCACGGGGTGTGGGTTGGGGGACGCAGGCAGAGAGACTGGGGAAGGGCGTGCAAGAGGGGGGGGTTAGTGGGTGGACCAGGGCTGGGGGGGGCTTGGGGATGTATGCGCGGAGGGGATGGCACCCAGGGGTGGGGAGGGGGGACATTGTGGGTGGAGGTGTGGATCATCGTTCAACGATGGACATAGGCCTCGGCAAGGTAAGGTAATAAGGTAAAAACAACGAGCCTACCTTTACCCTACCTTTTACCTTACCACAATACAATCACTGTACCCTACCTTTTACCCTTTAGCAAGGTAAGGTAAAATGTCAAAAGCAACGAGCCTACCTTTACCCTTACCCCATACAAATTACCCGATTATAGGGTAATTATTGGGATACTACACATGAAAAAGGTTTATAACAGGTAAATGCTAGGTAGAGCGCTTTATTCATATAAAATACTCTCGAATCGGGCGTTGAGGCTGTCGACGACACCGTCCTCCATAACCTCCTCGTCCCAGTCGTCTTGGTCGATGACGATCTCATCAACAACCTGATCAAGTTCGTCATTGCCGTCGTCCTCGGATGAACGACGGGCAATAAGATCCTGCGCCGCTCTGGCTCGGTTAGACGGGACCTTCAGGCAGCCGGCCGCGATCCACAAGCACAAGCACGTGGACTTGATGAAGAGCGTCGACAACAGCGACTGGCGAACGCAAGTGAACTCCCGCCCGGCTCCGCTATTCGCGGGTTCGCAGGGAGTTGACGTCGCCGGCACTCCCAAATAATCGCAGGCCATCTTGTAGTGGGCGGGGAGCAGCTGTTTGCGGGGAGACCGCCACTGCATTACGTCGATGAAGGCGCTGGCGGTCGTGACGCCCGTGCTCAGAAAACGATCGACTTCATCGCCGTCGTCGATGGAGCTGCCGACGTTGCTGAACAGGGTGCTGAACAGCGACCGCTCCTCCATATGGGCAGCGACGGCCGTCGTCGGGATTGTGTGCATGTCCGAGTAGCGATGCTGCAGGACAGAGCGGATCGTGGCCTTCAGTGTAGCCAGCTCATCTTGGTCTGACGTTTTCGGCAGCTGTGGATTCAAGTAGGATGCCACAATGGCGGGTTCCTGAACCAGGAAGTCGTGGTACCGCACCAGCTCGGCCTTCATCCCCATCGTGGTCAAGGACTCATCGATCGCCCTAAGAACGGCTTCACCGTGATCGCAATGACGGATCAGGTGCTCCATCGTCACTGGCACGAGATCCAATGTCGACTTGCGGTCCGCCGTCAACGAGGTCATGACCTGGCGCGGCATTCGCAGGAATGCTGTCACGCCCACGATATTTGCCCACTGCAGTTCAGAGAAAGCACCGACGCCGATCACATCCTGGAAGCGCGCCATGATAATGTCCAATGGGACGCGCTTTTTGATGGCGTCGTTGCCCATGTCAAACGTCGAATTCCATCTGGTTGGCGAGTTCTGGTGCGTCGGCTCCTTGCTGGTGAGCTTGGCGATCTCGGCCTCGCGGCGGTACGACTGCCGGACGACCTTGCTGCGCATGATATTAACGAGCGCCTCGCGCAGTTCGGCTTTGGTCGACTTGATCAGTTTGAGAACTTGAACGACGCCGATCTGGACGGAATGATCCGCGCAGCGAATATGGTGGCAAGCCCGCAACTGCTCATATCCGGCGTCCGCGTTGACCAGGGCGAACAACGTCTTGACAGCACTGATCTCATCGGAGCCATTGTCGCTGGTGACAGCGAGCAGCTTGGTCGAGACATTGTGCCCGAAGGCTTTGGAGGTGCTCAAACAGAGCGGTGCCAACGCGCTTGCCGACACCCCTTCCGGACTGCACATCGAGGATCGTCAGTAGCATGGATTTCGACGCACCAGATTTGGTGTCGATCCAGTGCACCGTGACCATCCAAAATCCCTTCAGGTTGCGGTTCGACCACCCGTCGATGGTGAGCGAGATGGTGACATCCAGGTTGGAGAAGAACGCCCCGACGATGGGCAGCGTGATCGCGTGATGCTCGACAATCCTGTGAATGATGGTACGGGTCGACGGGCCCTCGTATCCCTGCGTCAATGTGTGGACCAAGGTCTTCAACTTGTCGCTGCCGGCGGCTTGCAAAGAGATTGCAGTTTTGATAACAAAATCAACCACCACGTTCTCAAACTTTACCAGGAGGCGATCCGGGATTGCTGGCCGGCTCAGTGTTTGCTGTATTAGGCGGCTCGCCAACGCCGATGTCCCGACCTCGCTGCCTGGGGCAAGCACGTTGTAAAGGTACAGGGTAAAGGTGTCGACCATGCTTCTTGAGGTGGGCTTTCCACCCCGACGCGTTCATGTGGGAGGAAAACCACTTGCAGCAGTGCACGCACTGCTGCTTTCCTTGCTGCACATGAAGATCACCCTCCATCCAATCATGCGTGTGCTCCCACGGGAACGCATGCCGCTGCCTCTTTCGATTGCTGTTCGCAGCGACCCCGAAAATGCCGTTGCTGGCATCCTCGACCTCGTCCTCTACCTCAAGAACGTGGCCCGTCTCCATCTGGTCCGACATCAATGATCGCAATTTAAAATGGAGGCCATGGACTGCACCACGGAGATTTTCGCGGTAAACAAGGTATTTACCGGGTAATATTTCACGCTACCTTTACCCTACCGGTTCATTCTTCCGCGCTACCTTTACCCTGTTACCCTTTACCCTGTTACCCTTTACCCTGTTACCCTTTACCCTACCCTTTACCCTGTTACCCTTTACCCTGTTACCCTTTACCTCACCCCCCTTGGCATGGTCGACACCTTTTCCCTTTACCTTGACCCTTTTACCCGGTAAAAGTGTAAATTACTTTACCTTGCCGAGGCCGAGATGGACACTTCCACTAATAAATAATTAATATAATCACCCAGGAATGTCGTTAACGCTCGTGACGTCACTCTACGTCGACCAGCCCCCCTCATTAATAATCATGAACAGGTTACATCCTCCACATGGACCTGCCCCTCGTTAATAATCTTGAGCGGGTGACATCACTCCGCATGGAGAACCCCCCCCCCCCTCATTAATAATCATGAACAGGTGACGTCCTCCCTCCATTAACGTCACTCCACATGGGGGGGGCGAGGCGCCTCCTTCCCCCTCCTCGGCATCAACTTACAACCCTCACTACAAAGGCAGAACCCTCATGTCACGTGATCTCCGTGACGTTCTTGAGACATCAAAGTGAAAAGGACGTCGTGATGAACAAGGGATTATAACCTTAAAATGTAATAAGTCTGTGTCACCGCGGCCTTACAAATTGCACACGCATTGATGCAATGAATATCACGTCGCGGTTTGCTTTTCGCTTGCAAGTTTCAGATTTACTGCAATACACCCGTCCTTGGACGGGCAAAAGGATAGTAATATATATTCATATACATTTACGTAAGATCTTATAAGCTAAAGCAGATTTGAGTCCAGCGCATGGATGGGTGATCACCATACACCAACAGGTTGTCATAGGGCTCATAAGGCTGCATGTTGGGCAGCAGATGGCAGTGCAGTAAAATCCCTTGTCATCCAGTGCCTCTGTGTCCACATGTACAGTATTCTCCCCACTTTCATTAGCCTGAACTGGCCAGTGTAGTGCAGTGTCATCACATAACTCCTAGCACTCGAATGCCACTGGAACGGCTTCATCCAGCAGTGGAATGACAAAATGGCTGCACTTCAGAATCTTTATTTATACTGGAGCAATCTGATGAGCTATAAAGCTCTTTTTCATAGGTGTCCAGGAGTGCATTTACACATGTACACCCAGGAAAGCCGCAATGAGCCTCAAGATTCTATTTTGAGGGTCGGAAACTGAGATGTTTGGCCAATCCCGTTATGAATAAACGTTTCGCTACGTAACGTGATGCGGCCCTCCCGTAGCGCCCGCCACCGCCCCCGTGAACCCGAACCCACTCACTTGTCTCCGCGGAAAATGTAAGTCTTGCCCGAGGGCTCCCACCACACGGCCGCGTCAATCTGATCGTTGGGGATGCCGCTGCCGAGCTCCGAGAGGCTGCGGGGGTATCCCGACTCCGCCACGGACTCGTCAAACACCCAGAATTTGCTGCCTGCGGCAGGGATTATGGCGGGTGGGGGAGGGGGTGGAACAGAGGGGTGGGGGGCAGGGTGAGTATGCCAGCTTGGTTCTGTAAGCGCGGTGGTGGGTAAGGCGAAAGGCCGCCGGGAGGACGCTGCGTTCTGTGTCCTGTTGTACCAGGGGTCAGGATCTGACGTGACCCACAGGAGGTCTGTGGGTCACGAGGGTGACATTTAAGGGTCAGTGGAGTTTCCTGGCCCTGCATCCTGCCCTGGCTCAGCGCTGTGCAGCGTCGCATGTCGGTATTGGATTGCTTGGTGCGGACAGTCGTGTCTTTGGCTTTTGCATGCGATGTCCGTTTATGATTGTAAGCAATGGCATGTGTTTAATTGAAGTTTAAATGGGTACTTAAAAAAGACACCGCATGTTGGTATGGAGGCGCCTAATGAGAGCCTGTTAGATGAGATTGCCATGTTAAAGGTTCAAGGTGCCGAGAGGAAGACTTGTCATAGCGAATACGGCGTTACACATGGTACACAGGTTACACCATACGACCACGAGCTGCGTATTAGCCTGGAGCACAGAGATGCATTTTCAAACTATGGAAAATGTTATCAAGTGCGTGTTCTCAATGAATAAACTGCTTTGTTCAGAGCACGTTCGCTTGCCAATGATGCACTGATTCAATTAAAGGAATCGATTCCTAATCTTATGATACAAACATTGAGTCGTATGTGGGGATCGATTATTTATATTTTATACAACATTTTAAACAAAGTAAGCGTGAATGATACATATCCGCTCGCGGAGCGAACAAGATTGTGCGAACGAGAAACAAAGCAAACGATTCTGTCCAAATCAGATGTAAAAAGAACGATTCACGAATTGGATCGTTAGCTTCCCTGTGAAATGTCTTCATATGGCTGCGAGGGCGATCCAATATGCGCCTACTGTAATCCTTGATATTTACTTATGTTTGTTTTATTCCTGTTGTTACTCTGTTGTCATAGAGTTGTCCATTCTCAGCCCTGAGAAGCTGAAAGTTATTTCCATCGACGGTCATAGACAACATGTTGCAAGACAGGAAAGCTATGATGGACATTCCGATATCCATCTTAAACCCCAAGCTGTGGGGGCTCAAGGACATCTTGAATTCTAAAATTCTAAAAAAAAACATTCTGCTGCCGCATGTGAAAGTGAAGATTGCGATTGTAAAGTGTAATACTTGAGGATGAGTCTTTGTGATGAAAGGGAAACAGAAGTACCCATAATCGCGGATGAACAAGAGGGACTCGTGGAGTGAATATGTCACCTTTACACACAAGAGGGATAAGGACAGTGGATTAAAAATAACGCAAAGCATCTCTTTCAGCTGCACATCCATCTGAACCCCAAGACGCTAAATCCCTTTGAAGCGTCCCGCGAGAAATGTTAATGCAGCAGCCGAATGGAAGGACGTCACCGAGGGCCATGGCAACATGCGGCTGAGGGCCGTCGTGTAGGTATGATGCCAGCTGGGCGCATTCCCCCCGCCTTACATCACAGGGGCGAACACAAGTAGCTGGGGCCATCGTCTCTACAGAGGCATCATCGCTGGCAGGTGCGTTCACAGACGCGAAAATAAAAACACCCGGCAAATCCGGTACCTTTAAAGAAGACGAACTTTCCGTCGCCCCTCTCATACGCCGACTCCACGTTATTGGGCAGGCCCAGCCAAAAGTGGCCAATCGGCATGGGGTAGTTTTCTGGAACGCGCTTGTCCTTGACACGCCAGAACCACTGGTCCTGCAGCGGCCGAGGTTCGGAGGAGGTGAAGGCGAGTGAGAAGAAGAAGAAGACATTAAGACAGTGTTGAGACGAGGTGGGGGGGGGAGGTGGGGGTGGATAGCGGAACCCCTTCCCGCTGTCGGACCACCCCAGCTACGCAGTATGCAACATCCTGGAGGCCTCCTGGGCAAATAAACAATGCAACATGGTTTTGGCAACTCCGTTTTCATTTTTTGAATAAAACAACATTCCAAAGAGTGAGCGCGGCGTAGAGTGCGACACTGAGAGCATGCCGAAACACGGTGGTGAGGAGCCTGTTGGGTGGTGCGGAGATGTGCGGTGAGTGGTGGGGATGAAGGCCGTCCATGAGCTGCAAGAATCATAAATCTCCAAAAGCACAATGTGCATAATTGACAGTTCACCTCTTTACGAATCAAACAGCTTTGGCAGAGGTTTCAGAGCTGTCATGTTACCTTGGCCATGTCCGAGTTGCCACCTGTCTGCACCAATAGACAATGCCTGCCATGCAATCCACAATCTCTCCCTTTGATTTTTCCAAGCACGCACTGTCACACGGACTCTGGTATTCGCTAAATATCTATTGCTTTGTGACTCGCAGATGGCAGTGAGGCGCTGGTTGCCCGGTGTATGCCGAACTGTTCGTTCCCTCCATTAAATGTTTTTCTATGTTCTCCAGATAGGGTCACGGCCTCTCAAAAAAGACAAACCTGAGTTTGGCAGACGTTTAGTATATTGCACATCCCCGAACTAACTTTGGTTCTCAAATTACAAATGGAATGAATAAAAAACATAAAAACTAAAATGTTTATATAAAGCAATAGAATGGCAATGAAGAATGCATTTGTGTTCATTAGCGACAGTTCATATCCATACACATTAATTAATTCATATCTTTAGAATCAGGCGAGCATCTGATTCATGTTATAACGTGTGTTGTAGTACATTTTGTGGGATGAAATATAGCCAGTATTTTTTGTCGGTTCGAGATGTTAAAAATAACTATGCTTTGTACAGCTGCTCAACCAACGAATACAATGCTGCTATTTAATGTTGGCACTTCTGAAGATATTTGTTTTCATTGTTCAGCCAAAGGTATGTCCGCCTACACAAATTTAAATTTTCTTTGTGTTTGTAAAGCTAGGATATTTTTTTTTTTTTTACAATAAAAGGTGCTGCAGTATCGTGAACTGGAGTTTCATGGAATTAACAAAACTGGCAGTTGGGGGCTGCAACCGGATTTACAAGAAACTCCCCCAATATTTCTGTCACATTGCTAAACATAGGGTTAGGGAGTCACACGGGGCATCGAGCACGCACATGAGTGAGGGACGTGCCAATTTTTCAGCATCTGAAACGTTGACCAGGACGGCTTGTGAGAGGAAAGGAGGTTCCACGTTCAGCGGAACGCAGCTGCATTAAAGAATGTAAAAAATACCACTTGCACCACCTGCTTGTGTGGGCGGTGTTTGGGAGGGCGGTGCATTGCTGGGATGGAGAGGAGTACAATGGTGTGGCGGAGGGGAGAGCAAAAGGAACCCAAGGCGCTGGAAAAATTATTGAGATCATAAACGCAGCGCATAAAGCCACCGCACCACACGTCCCTTTCACCTGAGCAAACAGGCCGACTGCTTGAGCTCGGTCTTGTAAAATTGCCGCTTTGATTGAGGTCCCTTTGGATCTCGTGGCAAGTCCGCAACATCTGTGCGGAAGCATTATGAATGAGAAATCCCCATAAAGTGCAAACCTCACTACATCTACGAATGAATTCAAGGGTTCAACTCAGTCCGATGCTGCCTGTATTGGGTTTCACGACGTTGCCCGTCTGTCGGATTGTTAAACTGTGGACTGTTGGCAGTGGCGAAGCTATCGAGTGTGTGCAGGCAGGGCAACTGCACCAGGGGTCCAGACTTCAGGCTACAAAGAGAGGGGAAGTTGGTCAGAGGCCCAATTTAATATCTTGTGCCAGGGCCCATTCCTGCCACACTACGCCTCTGGCTGTTGGATTGTCGAGGGAAGGGCTGTGGGATAAATCAGTTCAGGTGGTATGGCCATTTTCCGTCTCTTTCCAAGCAAACTCAAATTTGTACCTTTCTGGATTAATATTTAGGAAATGTACCAACGTTATGCACACTATCAAGCCTCACTTTATGTAATTAATGATAGATTCAGAACTCTCACAGAGCAGCGCTATCCCATGTGTTTGTGAGCAGCCTATAGAAGTGGGGTTTACAGAACTTCCTGTGACATCTATTTCAGCGACCTTGTTTTGTCATGCGAATATTCTTAGATACCTTGCTGAGAGTCAAATAAATATAATTCGCAGAGCTGGAATTTAGGCAATGATAAAAGATAAACCAAGTCAACCTGATTTAAGCGTGAGCCCATAAAACTCAGATTTTAACCCTGGATTTCAGCAGTGCCATGCTCACAGTGCTCTGACCACTAAGCCACCTGGCCACCTGTTCAGACACAATTTGGAAAATAACATCCAGCATTCCACTTATGATTCACAGCACGACAGCATCCATAACTGCATTTTATGGGGGAAAAATTTGCATTGTATTTAATGTCATCGCCGCGTGTTGCACAACTGCGGGCGGGTAGGATAAATAAACCCTGGCAACGTGGCAAGGCGAGAGGCGCACCTTGAACACAAACATCTCCCCGCGCAGCATGGCGATCGTGTCGAAGCCGCCCTTGCAGATGTCGGGCGGCGAGCCGGGTCGCGGCACGTCCTCTCCCGGTTTCGTTTTGGGCGGTTTGGGTTTGTTGGGCTTATTGGGTTTGCCCGGAGACACTGATGGACGCGGGTGGGTCGGGGGACCTGGTTCGCACGACCAGAGAAAAAAAACACACAAACATATAAATACACGCGCACACAAAGATACAGGCGTACACACACGGCCCACACGTAAAGCCTCACACACTCTTGCAGCAAAGTGCCGTGAGTGAACACCTATTAAGGCTGGCATGGTGCACAAGGGGGTTTTTAATGGCCAGCACCATGCCTGGCCATACATATTGGACTCCCCAGTGATGATGTTGACACACTGCACAAGGTACTAATTATAATCCTGAGTTGACCCAAAGAAGGCGCAGATCAAGTTCAGATAACACTGATATTATTGGTCACCTGGATAATATCACAATGCGCTATCTATTGCATCACCGCTTGACAGACACACACACACATGCTCACGAGTTAAAACATGCACACACGCTCACATGCACACACATGTAAACACTAACACATGCTAAGACATGCACTCATGCGCACAACTGCACACACGCTCAAAATGCACACACATGCTCACAACAAGACAAAGATCCCCCATATAGCCTAAACAGACTTTAAAGGGCAAGTGCTGTAAGCAAGCATCGATGATATATATACACACACAGGCATTTATGCACATGCTCACACATGGACACGCCGTTCCGCATGACCACAAATGCTGTCCACAACAAATTGTCTTTCCCCCACGATGTGGTAGAGGCCTGCCATCCTCCCTCTCAGGATCACCGCTTTGTCTGCAGTAGTTCAAGTTGGGATTCAATCAGTGAATTAATTTAGAGAAAGGATTGTATTTTTTCAACCTTTTTCTGTGCGACTTTGTATAATGGTTAGGAAGACTCCAAAAGTCCCCTCCCACCGGAAAAGCCCTCACGCCTTATTCCCATTACGCTCCGTGAAGCCGGAGAAATAACGACCACAGAGGCGCTTTCTATGGAGCAAGGGCCCCCGACATCAAATCCGCCTCACCCCCCTCTGGTAAACATGGTACGCTCCACCACTAATCAAAAGCACGTGTTCGCCTTTAACAAACGCAGCTGCGTGCGGAGGGCACAGGTGAAAGCGGTGACTGCAGAGAGGGTTTCCCTGTTGAATGTGCACCCGGGCCGCAGAACACTTGAAACGGAGAACAAATACAAATTAAAAGGGCAGGAGACAATGTATTTTTTCACGAGTATCTTATTTTGATATAAAAAGAGAGAGCGCCTTAGCGCCAGGCGTTTTACATCGTTAAAAAGCGGGAACAAAAATCGAGTGCTTTAGATGGCAGCAGCATGCAAGGGCCGAGGAATGAGTGACCGCAACAGAGGGCATGTGGGGTCACGAAGGAGCATGGGAGGGACGGGACTGAGAGTAAGGGAATGGGCAATGGAGAGGAGGTGAGGCTTTGAGAGAGGATCGGAAGGAGGTTCAGGGGAGGACCGCTTCATATACAGGGGAAGTTTATTCCGGTGGAGGAAGAAGGATAAAACATGAGACTGGGCACAGGGAGAAGGAGAGACAGAAAGAGAAGATTGGGAATGAAGAGTACGAGACGGGGCATAAAAGAGATGAGGCCAAAATGAGATTTAGACTTTCACAGCGAGCAGTACACCAACTTAATGATGCCATATCACGACTTCTGAAGTCACTGCAAGAGGCTCTTATTCAAACAAGAGGCACACCTTTTATGTGCCATATAAAGAGTGTTTTTTCACATCTCTAAAAATATATATATTCTGAGAGATTAATCTGACGTGCTCTTTTGTATGGTCATTGGGTGGCTGAGCCAAGAATATTATCTCACTACAGTAAATCCGGTCTAATTACAGGTGGTTGAAACTTGGAATGAAACCCAGAACCTCAGCAGCACAGCTCAGCGGTCTGACACAGTATTAACCCACTCAGCCACCCAATTCGTTCTGGTAGACTGTACATCTATTCTCATAGCACTGATATCCCAATGGGTTATAGTTATGACTAAGGTCAGGGTTAAGGTTAGGGCTAAAGTTACAACTTGGGATATAGGGTTAAATTAACTAGCGTTAGGGCTCCATCTCATCTTAGAATGTGCTTGGGCATGCTATTGTGCCCTGAGAATTCCACGTGTTGAGAGGGGCCACTGTGTATAGGGAGGCACGGTTCTCCGACTCCAGAAGTCAACAGAGATGTGTCAGTGTAAGGGTGGAGAGAGCGGCCAGGGGAACATGAATATTTCCAGTTGTGTGGTCGAAGCCTGCTTCACTGCTCCCTCTTTCTGTACCACTTCTCTGGTCAGATCACCCACCCAGGCAGGATCTCCCTCCTACGAAGCCAAAACAAATTGCTCATCAATCGCAGGAGCTTCCTGGTGTCGGAAGCGCCATCTATATCAGTCACTGTGGAACGGGCTCGGTGGGTTGTGTTTTGTGTGACAGGACCGAGCGTATTAAATTGGCGGGTTCTGGAGGGCTAGGCAAGGGCAAGGACGACGAGGCCTTATCGACCTACCGTAAATCTGCTGGATGCCCAGCAAATCGTCGTAGGGCAGCTGGAAGTCATCCGTGTCCATGTATTGGTAGAAGGGCGCCATGATGGCCGACGGGTCGTTGGAGTGCTCCAGGCCCAACGCGTGGCCCAGCTCGTGCACGGCGACGATAAAAAGGTCGTTACCTGATTCCGCGGGGGTGGGGGTGCAGTGGGGGTTGTGGGGAGAGGGTGTAACAACAGGGGAGAGGCCAGAGGGTGAGACAAGAGAAGGGAGGGTCAGCGACATTCGGCCTGCAGTGGTCACTGGCCATGGGGTCAACGCGTCCTCCTTGCGGTGTTGGCGCTGGTGCCAACACAAGCGTCGCAAGCGGAGACGCTGCCAAATGTAACAAAAACAATTCAGGGGACGCCCATTCATATCACTGCCAGGCGCTCGGCAACAAATGCTGTCAACACCCATCCACGTACACACACACACACAGTCCCCTGTAACTTACCAACTGCACATTCAGCAGGTTTCTTTTTTTCTCCTCATTTCCCTGCTGGGAATATTTTACTCAAAAATATTGGAGTTTTCTGAGATCTGGGAGGTACGGGAAATATCACGCGCAGCACACAAAAGCAGGACGGCTGCACATGCCTTGGACTGCGGCTAAGGTGTAATTTACTTTGAAAAACTTGCAATGGATTTGTTTTCATCCCCTCTGTAAACCGAGCAGCAACCGAAACAATCGGTCAGTGAAGGGTTCGTGGTATTATGTCTGCGAGCGCTTTGTCATCATCGCGGGAGGTCGCTGGCGAGTGTAATGACCGGGTTATGCGGTGTGGCCAGTTTAAAGGCTGCCCTTCTAGAGGATGGCGGCTTCCACTAAGACACAACCATGGGGGTTCATTGTACATGCCAAGATTTTTCTTTGGTCTCCGAGTCATTAAAACCTAAGCCTGACGAATCTGGAAACATTACCCTCCTGAGTGGTGAAACCAGATGTCGTGCGATGGGATCGAGGTCGGCTGTCGGTAGTCTTATACCAAGAACCCATTTCTGTTTATTGTAAATTCACAGAGCCTAATAGGAATATGCATGAGGTAGGTTACGTGTAACCGCCAAAAATCAACTGCTCTTCAAGGTTCATGACCACATCTGTCTTGTTCAATCATGTCAAACTCTCACACTGATTAAAGGTCAAGTTCCCTTTAATGTTTTTGTCTGGGTTTTTTTACCTCTACCAGTTCACACGCAGTCGCAGCAATGCAACACTCAACAGAAGCTGCTCACCTCCCTAAAAGTTTTTTTTTCGTTTGTCACCAAGCGAGGGAGGAAAAGATGGTGGGAGGTCTGTGTGTTTCTAGGGCCCTTCGTGTCTTTTCACAGAAGGCCGCAGCTGACGAGGTGCGTGCGGCATTGTGCGGTGAATGGATCCGCTCCCCCCCTCCCCCGTGCTTACATAAGAAAACATTCGACTGGTTTGTTGGGTTTCCCAGCTTTCTGCGTCACCGAGTGCGCTTTCTTGCATTTGTGGCGAGGCCATCGCATTCGCGCCTTACTTGAGCAAAAAAAAAATCGACACGAACCACATCAAGAGCGTCTTTGTGGAGAGCTGTGAACACAAACGAGTGGCAGCTTGTCGGGCGGGCCCTTTCGTCACGGGAGAATTCCACCGAGGGGGGTTCGAAGCCTCGCCTGTCACCGAGAGGCCTGCGTTTGGTGAAACGCGAAGCGGAGGGTGCACTTTGCCGTCGTTGGTGTTCCTTAAGCCGACGAGCACTCCACACTCCCTCGCTGTCAGTGAGTGATGGGGTGTTCATTGAGAGGGTGGAGGGGTTTCTATAGGGAGTGGTGGTACAGCGATTAGCACGCTGCGCTATGAATGCGGCGCCCCGAGTTCGACTCCCGCTTACGGCCAACACCAGTGATGATTATCTGAACCAGTCCTGGGCCTCCCCTAGGTCGACTCAGCCCCAAACGAGTACCTGGTATGGTGTGTAAAAACATCGCCACTGGGGAGACAAAAGGGGTCGGGCATGGCGTTGGCCACCCACCCCACTCTGTATCGTGCCTGCCTTCATAGGTGCTCGCTAAAAGCACTTGCCTTTAACAGTCTGTTAAGGCTACGCGGGGATCTTTGTCTTTGGGGTTTCTACACTTGTGAGAAGAGCTTGTAGGCAGAGACCTCTCTCCGTTGGCATCCCTTCACCAGAAAAATTATTTGTGGGAGCGGTAAGGGAGCATTGTTCTTTTAAGCTCTTATTGTCCTCAACCACATCCTCCTTCTCTCGCCCCATCAAGACATCCATGTGATTTATATGCTGACCACTGCCATTGGCCATTTGCAATGTTTAACCAAAAATCTCATAAGACGTATCTTTTATGATGCACATTTTTTTAGACCATAAAACACAATTCCCCAAAATACAAAGTACGACACCAGGGGCTGTAAAATGCAAATGTGCATCAGAATAAATCTATTGAGATATAAATTGCATGAAGATTTGTGGCCATAACTCGATAAATTCCTGCTGCGCCCAGCTCCAGCCCAGGCAAGTGAAGAGTCTCGTGGCTCTTGTGATAAAGGCAGCCAACGTCAGTGGCCAAAACAAACGTCCAGTGGCTATCTTCCAGAATGCCTCACTGATGATTTAATTTTCCATGCTTTGCATGGCAAAATATGCTGAGACGCTTAAACGTCGAGGTGGTCAAGGTTAACGTACGGAGTGGCAGCCAAAGAAGGCAACAAACCTGAGAGCACGTTCACGGCAAAGATGGAGTGATAAACCAGCTTGTGTCCGCGTGCTGAATGCATTGATGCATTGCAAGGCTGTGGTAGATGGTGATGGCTCGGGGGAGGCCTTCATCCAGCAGTGGATTCACCATAGCTGATGATAATGATCATGATACATATAAGAATTAACCAGTTACTCCAAATGCACCAGTTTGCAAGAACTAGGAGATTATTCATTGTCCACTGAATGCAATGTGCTTTGTTCAATTTGCACATTATGGCATATTTGTGCAACTTTAAATCTGAAATATTCTATCCACTTGGAAAAATGAAGAGGCACTGCACACTGAGTAAAAAAAATCTCTCACTGCAAACGATATTCACTGCAAGGCAGTTAATCGCTCTCCATCCGGAGAGGCCAAGATGTGCGAGATTATAATTTCCAGCCAAGACAAATATTCCACATATCTTAGAGCCTTTCCAGGTTTCCAAAGCCATGTGGGGTCTCTAAGCAAGCATTGCCCTGTGGAACAATGCCTGCTCTGGGGCTGGCAGTGCAGACCACTCAGAAAAGCCTCAACGTGGTCAAATGACAAGCGGTGCTAAGAGGCGCGATCACAGAAATACTGACAAAAGACTGTCCAAAATATTGGTTTGCAGTCACCATAAGTGGTGGGATATTGCTATATGCTTCGCAAGATCATGTGATGCACGCAGAAAAAAACGAATATAGTACTCAACGAGCCCAACAAACACAACACAACAGGGTTCCTTGAGTTTTACGAGCACACTAAAACATCACATATTCGGAGAGGTCTGATATGTGAACATCCTTTGAAAAATATAGAAACACCACGCACAAATATTGCACTGGGAGTGGGTAGTTAATTCATCAGGGTGGATATTTGGTGATTAGAAATGCAACGCTGTACTGTGGCTTTGACATTTAATTCACTACTGGTAGGGCCCAATTTGATCTGAGTCTGTCTGGATTGGCGACCCAAAAATATTTCTGCACCCAGCACACCATTTGCTATAGTTCCCTCTATAGTTGTGGCTACTAGCCACGCGCTACCAAATCCAGACTACCAGTGACCCGGTAAATATAAATGGGAATTTAAGCCCTGACTCAGGGCACATGAAAGAGGTGAACGATTACAAGGTGAAAGGGTGCACAACCGCACCTAAATACAGATTGCAGGGATCCATACTCTTTCATGAGAGCCCACAGCGTTTTTCCGAGACCAAGGTACTCTGCAAACCTTCGGGCTACTATCAAAGGTTTGCTCATGAAGCCATCCAGATATATAAACATAGACATAACTTCAACCGAGAAGATGGATACAAATTGAGCAATCATTGGAAGATTTTTTTTTTCTTGGTGGTGTTCATTCAGACGCTGTCTTTCCGACAGACCTGTTCTTCACGTGAGGACGGCTGCTTGTGTTGTGGCCGAAACGTCGTGAGAATTGTATTTTATTATGTTTAATTTTTATTATTTTATTATTTCCCTTCTACGTGACTTTACCGAAAGAACCAAGAAGAAGACATTGGAAAGGATGTTATTAACCAGGTAAAACCTTAACTAATTTATGGTGTTGCCTTCATATCCACATCTACAGTTTCTTCAGCCTCCTACTCCCAGCCCTGCTCACCCCCCCCCTGCACATTTTGCCGTACTCGCCCTTTCTCCCTACCACCCGCCCTTTTCTCCCTACCCCTCACCCCCCTCTCTATCGCTCCTCCCTGGCTCCTCCCCCCTCTCTTACCTAAATAACCTCTTGTTACAGTAGCCCTTTTGCCCACTTCAGCAATTGTTTCTTGCTGTGGTTGTTCCACCTGATGACGGATGCTTGTATTGCGCCCGAAACGTCGTGATTTAATTTATTTTATTTGATACCTACGTGACTTTACCGAAAGAACCAAAGAACATACCCTCCATAGAGAAAATAGACATTTCAAATGCAGGATTGAGCATTGGAAGCTGGGCTCCCAATAAGCGGCCTCCCCGCTTTCAAGCTGTGCTCACCGATAACAAATAAGGTGCCACCCGATTTCATCGCCACGTCGCTTGCAACAGGATGTATCGCCCGGAGCAAACGGTCGGCGCAGGAAGTGTGAGACGCCCTGCAGAGCGGAAACCCGACTCAGTGGTCCTCGCTGCCGAAACAATACCGTTATTGGCCAACAAAACTTGCCCAGTCGTCACTCTCAGCTGGTGCCCCAACCGCTGTTGTTTGATGATGCCCTCCCAGGACTGTTGGCATAGGTGGCAACGACTTTTGAACATCCAAGGATATTTTCAATGATTGGCGTTTTCTCATCATTGTTAAGGAACATCGTCGGACCCCCATGTCTGGGTTTGGAGTCTGGCTGTACAGAGTGCCAAGGACAAGAGGCTATCAACACAAGATATGTGTGTTTTGTTTTTGCTTTAAATAATTCAGAGCGATGGTAAATATTAACACGTGCCTTTTTGTCAGGGTATTCTTAATTCAAGATATTGGAAAGGGCGTCTGTTTCTAAATGTGTTATAGGTTTCATGTTTGTTTACTACAGAATTAACTGTTAGATCACACAAGAGGCTTCAAATGTGGTCAACATGTGAATGAAAAGCCACTTAAGAGACCCACAGTGTGCCTGCACTCCCATGGCAAACTTTGATTGTATACCGCAGACTAAAGTGCAACCACACTCAATGCAAATGAGCTTCAGCAGTACCACTATGACATTTTTGTAAGTTTTTTAACTGAGCAAAATAAACGGATGGTTTTCTAAGTTAAAGTAGGCCAAAGAGCAGAGCAGTTTTGTGGTCTAAGTTATGAGTTTTTTTCAAAGTAGTTATAGTCAGGAATTTAGTTTGTTCTGGACTCAGGCGTGATGGTTCTGGTGGTATTCATGGGCTACTGCCAGAGGCATGAGCCCCCCTTTCTGTCATGAAACATCTTTTGTGCAGTGCCCGGTTTTATTCATTCATCAAATTCCAAGAGGTTCTGGGGGCCAAGGCAGGACACATTGATAAGCCCAAAACAACAGGAATCATATTTACAGGAACCAAGGACACATGCTGATGTGCTCCAAATAAACCAAAAGCTATTTAAATAATCTTCACTGGTTAATTCGGTGAGGAAAACAACCAAGGCTAAGGAGCAATGAGATCAGCTAATGGACAGGATGGATAGTGACGTTGGAGGATTGTAAGAGATGGTGGGAGCGTGGTGACGCCTTCACCTACCAACATATGATGATGATGATTGATGATCGTGATGAATTGTTAATATTCATAATAACCTCCTGGCATGGTGCCCCGAGGGGAGCCACTCCCCAAGCAGTGTCCCCCATGAACCTCCCGACATTAGATTCAGCCCCTTCAGGGAGGCTCCGGAAGCACTGAAGTTCAAATTAAAGAGATCGTCATGTTCTATTGTACTTTTAAGCTTCCATGTCCAAAATTTCCACCTTCACCACCCTGCACTTACCAGGGTGGTAGAGTATGGTCAAATGACCGGTGTTACTTCGGTGGTGTGGGGAAACCCTCATCCTGCAGTAGAGTTATCGTGGATTTGCTTTCCTAGGAAAGCCGACCTGAATCTCATGATTCTTTTTCAGGAGGGTTTTGCCAGGTTTTTGCATTAGGGGCGATGATTGTTAAGCATAAACCAAATAGAATAATTTTCAGCTAATTTTTCAAATTTGCCAAACTTGGATTGTGACGCTGGCACAACATGGCTTTCTTTTACGAATGATGTCACGTGACTTTTAACGTTTGCTGTGAAGCAGACAGCATGTATATATTTCTTATCGTTAAAAAACCCACAGTAATAACCAGAGCGACTGCTGCATTCAAACCGTGAACCTCTGCAACACACAGCAAATGCACTAGCGCTTGTCCACATCACCACCGGATGATGACGAGGATGACAATGATGACGATGATGATGATAATAACAACGATCTCTACAGACGCCCAACACCACTTCCACCCACCGGTGTAGTCGAGCCCCCCCAGCGTCCACGGCTCGTCGGCGTCGAAGTGGGTGTCCCCTCCGATGCCCTTCCCGGGGAAGTAGGCGTGCGCCAGGAACCCGCCCACGCCGTCGAAGGGCGAGCGGTCGCCGTGGTAACCCGACGCGAAGAAGATGATGATGTCGGCGTCGTTGCCCGAACCGTCGCGACCAGACACCTGTGTGAAGGTGAGCGGCGTCACCGCCTGCCACACGGCGAAGGCGTTCCGGATTGCCTGGTGGGTCTCGTACTCGCCGACTTTGGGCGTGTAGTTCTGGATGCTGTGGAAGGGAAAAAAAACCCGGGAGAGTAAATGCAAGGACGTCAAGCAGAGAGGGCAAAGCTAGGGCACTCAAGCAGAGCGTAGAGATGGACTAGTTGACCTGTGGCCGTATCTGCGGGACCAAAGGTATTGCTGCCTGCTGCACGAATGTTATTCTATGGGTGTATTACCTGAAATACACCTCTTGTTGATTTCCTCTTTAAGACCTGGCTCTTCCTCTTATGACTCAACTCCTTCATTTGTATGCCCCGCCACCTTACTCCTTAAGCCCCACCCCCCCTTCCTGATTCCACCTCCTCCTCTTCCTATTTTGGCTTTGCCCTTTCTTCTGTAGGCCTCACCCCTTCCCCCAGACACAGGTTGGCTGCTATGGAATTTGGTTGGGGGTGTATAAGAGGGGGGTAGCAGTGGTAGTGGGGTGTGACGGCTTCAGAATGACTACCAAGGTACCTTGATTAGCACTGTTGCCGACGTACGGTGTGAAATAGGTTCAGCATACATATAATAAATTGACTTAACATTTGTCGGGTCGCATTATATATACTCCAGGGCCCTGATAATTTTTGAAAGTTTTAAGTTGCAAAATTAATTGGCATATTAGCAGTGTTCTATTCATAGCCAATGGACATCAAACAAATGCTTAGAAAGATGAACATCCCTGTATAAACGTATTGAATGTGGGACTACTTGGTAAGCACAGCAAGCTTTTGCTGCAATTCGAGTTTTGTACAAAAACATTCTTGCTTTTCAGGAAAGCCTTGGCAAGTCTTCAAGACGTTTTTTCTCGAGGTTCCTGCTGGGATTGTTGCCGAACTCCGCGTGATTTTATTGTTGAGTGTGGGAGGCAACCTCGGAGAGATCCCAAGAATATGAGGAAAAAACAAATTCCGCAAGGATAGCCAACTATCTATCACGAAAGTACATTATTATAGAATACAAAATACACTTTTGCTCATTTTTTCCAAGGTAAAATACAAAAAACGTGATGAAATACTGGTTATAATAATTTTACCTGCCACGATCCAATCGCCGTAATTCAGGGTTACACTTTCATTAAATAAGTTTTTTTAAACATTGGGGTGAATGTAGCAGCCTCTGGTGGCTGGATGAGTTGCTTTACCCAATCCATCACAACATAGAACAATGTATTCTTGCATGCACTATTCAGTGGGTGTAGAATGAGCATCATAATCTATGAATCAATGAATTGATCTTTGCAACCCTTTAACTGGTAAACACGGGACCGAGCCCCATGCTGGATGCCAGTCAGTGCCGAGCTAATAACGATATCGAACCGAGTGACATTGGACTTTGCTCTTAAACATGATCTCAATCTGATTTAGAGGTAATGCCTTCACTATCCCATGCTTTATTTCACAAGTATACTGCAGTAGTGAATTGTAAACGTGGCGACCAGAATTAAGATTTATGGTCAAAGCTAACATCGCTGGCGAATTATCTCTCAATACAGCTCTGGGCCACCTCCTTCACCAATACGCACTGTCCAGCATGGTGGAGCATGGTCAAACAACCCCCATGATCGATAGGCAAGAGAAAGCCATCATCCAGGAGTTATTGGTAAACTGTGACGTAGTGGCTTCATGTGAGTGCGGTGATAGCTTTGCTCACTCGTAGGTGATGTGCTGATGATGCCACTTGAGGTGGTTGATGGCATAGCGCTTGTGCCGGGACCCGGCCGTTACGGTGGTTCCGTATCGATCCGGTACTCCACACCGTGGCTTCTGCATCCATCTGTACGGCACACAATGACACGCTACTACGTCACGAAAATATAGTTGAGTTATCTTCTGTTTTATTATTATCATCTGCCTCCCAGAATGCCGTGTTGGCCACGTGTGGCAGGCGGCCCACAAGTGAAAGACGGCATTGGACCACAGCACGCCCAACACGGTTGTTCTGCGCGTGATGTGGCGTGCCAAAAAAATGGTTTCTTACAAAGCTTACTTTCATTTTACAACGCTTTGCAGTGCAGCATTGTGCCTTCTCGTAGAACAACTGCACAGCGGCATTCGGGAACCCCCCCCCCGTCGCAGCAAGAGCGCTCACACTCGAGAGCGTGAACTGAACGCACGTGTCCAGGCCATCTGCCACCCCCGCCATGTGCTGCCCATTGCCTCACCCCACACTACTCCCAGGGGCTTCTCGCCGCCGCTCACAGCCGCTGCCGTCTGGGTTTGCCAAGCGTCGCGCTCTGGCAGCGAAGCAATGCCACGTGATGTATTCAGCCCCGAGCCACGCTGACGCCAGCCGTGGCACATTGGAGACTGCGAGAGAGCACGAGTCCACCGGCTCAGGGGACACCCGACTTCTGGGAAGCCCTTGGGAATCACGTGCTCACTCGCGTGTACTCGTTGGAACGCGAGGCCAGACTTGTTACCATTCTTTTACGTTGGTGGAAATGTTGTTTATTTATTTCTGTTATATATGGTTAGGAAATCAATCTTGTGAATGTTAACGACAGCTGAACTCAATTGACCGCATGTGAAATCCCATAGCCAACAAATACAGCACACTAATTAACACAAGTATGGGATATTTATACTCCTCAAAATGCTTAGCATGTCTCTTTTTTTATTGATGCAAAACACAGATGTGAAAAAGACAGTTAAAAGTGAGTGGAAAAAAACACAGCCTTGTTTTGAAAAGTAGAGCTCTTCAAAGGAGCCTAATTTAAGCAAATCCCAAATGAATTCTGACTTCAATAACTGGTCGGGAATGAGGATTCTTCCAGTGGGGTAATGCATTCACTCTTACAGCCTCGGTAGGGTCTGCCCAGGATCAAAGATCAACGTACGATCAATGGGCACTCACGATCGTATGTAAACAATGTGTTTCCATTGGCCCGTGAGAATCATAATTTTGAGCGCCAAGAGGAGGGGTTCTTCTGCCTGGCTTACATGTTTTGTTATAACAATATTAAATGTAACGCAGGTGGCAAAAAAAAATGCTTGTAAACATTTTCACAAGCACTGGAACGAAGATTGTAATCTTGAATGCAAACGGAATGTGCCCGATGGGTGAAAAGGCAGTAAATGCCTGAAGCAGGGAATGTGGGATCGCCAGGCCACAGCGAGGTCGTGGTGGCACGCCCACACACATCACTCACGGGACCGCTGAGGCCTGGAGCTCACCTGACTCACACAGCTGAGGTAAACAGCTCATAAATGATGACTGTACAAAGCGTCAACTTAGGCATAGCCTAGACAAGATAAAAGCTTAAAATAGAACATGAATTATAAGTACATATTTTCCGTTAATTAATTATGCAACATTAATTTCCTAATTAATGAGAGTTTTGGAAATGGATTCCGAATTTCTATGAGAGTTACGGCATGCGACATCGCCTCACCAGTAACAGTCACCAAGATGTGGGATTGTGATACGATTCAGGACTAAATATATGAATTATATCATTTGTATTATTTCTGATTTGTTCTGCCTTGTTTATACAGTTTATTTTTACATTTAAGACATTATTTACACAAATTGGACATAATCGAATTATATAAATGACCAATGTCAATGGACTGATAGACTATGCTTGAGGTGCCTATTCACTAAAACCCAGGAACTCCTGGCAATCCTCAAGGTGCCCTGGCAAGTTGCACACAACCAGTTACACCCGAGTTACACACAACCATCTTCATCAGACTTACACACAACCATCTTCACCTGACTTACACACAACCATCTTCACCTGAGTTACACACAACCATCTTCACCTGAGTCATACACAACCAGCTACACCTGACTTACACTCAACCATCTTCACCTGACTTACACACAACCATCTTCACCTGACTTACACACAACCATCTTCATCTGACTTACACACAACCATCTTCACCTGACTTACACACAACCATCTACATGCAGCTGAGTGAAATCCTTACAGTGTGTTGTGTCAATGGGTATTCTGTTACTTTATTATGAAATCTACTCTTAGTAACGTGGCAAATACAATTCTGGTTTACGGCCCAATAGCACCATCAGGGTCATGAAGTCCACACAGGATTACATTACAACTGCACACACATTGTTCTCACTGCAAGCTTAATATAAAGAATGTGTGTCATCACTTTATCAAACGACATGGAAAGCCAAAGCACCTCTAGAAGCAGCATTAGAGCCACACAATGCAATTCATGCTTTGCAATGAATAACAGTTAAAACATAAATATTCTAAAGTTGTGTTCATGGTTATCAGAATACTATCCAACTTCACACACAGTGGCAATTGGCTCCAGAAATCAGGGATTTTAAGGCAGATCTCCAGTTTTTCAATTAAAGCGTCAAGTTACAGCACACAAAACAAGCGAGGTTCCTCCCAAAATCAGGTTTATTCCCATCTTTTTCTCAATTCTTTCACTTTTTTATCTCCATTTTTATTAATCATTTAAATCCATGTGACATGTTAATATTTAAAAATACGAAGGGTGCACGTACAACTTATTCTGTAATTTCAATTTTATTTGAAAGTGATTTTTATTTTCTTAGCTATGAGATTGTAATGCATAAAAAAGCAGAGTGATGATAACAGTGCTGATATGGGCGTGAGCCTTACTGCCTGGTGAGCTCGTCCATCGTGCCGGTGACTGGGATGCCGTAGAAGGCCTGCATGGAGGACACGGCCTCCGACAGCATCTGTCCCGAGCGGTACGTGGCCATCTGCAGGTCGCCCGCCGGAAGGTACCCATACTGCTGCAACCACGTCTGGTGGACGGCACGTTGGGGGGGGGGGGGGGCATAGGGCAGTAGGTCAGGCGGGAGGAAAGGCGTCAAGAGAAAAAGGTTTTAAGCAAACAATAGCAAACATACAGGAAGGTTACTGGGGGGGGGGGGGGGGGGGGGGGCTCGACTGGGAGGTCAGGTGCCCGTTCGTTTTCAAGCGTTCTCCGGCCTCCAGGTTTAGGAAATCCAACCGTGACCTCGGGGGTGACATGGTCAGTGAACTTCAGCAAAACTCAGCGAGGTCACCTTAACGTGGAGGAAGTGAGGTGCGTGTCTCCCATGCATTTTAAACAGAGGGTCTGTCTTCATGGAAAATTTTATCTGCGTGTCCTGTGTTGTGGCCAAATAAATAATCACAAAACGTGATTAATGAACGAAGTCAAATTAGCATGAATATTTATCAAAAATCATCATTTACAGCCCTTTGTCAGTTCACTGCTGGATGAAAGTCGGCCCACTGCATATTGGTGATGGAGTTTGCTAGCCCATACTTTACCACGCTGGTCAATGCAGGTTAGTGAAGGGGAGGGCCAGGATCAGTTTAGATATCACTCTTCAATAACGCTACCTTTTGATGGAATCGAACTCAGGCTTCCACGATCATAGCGCAGCATGTGAGCCACTGTGTGCCACTGTGTGCCACTGTGCTAGTAATTTATTTACTTGCAGCAGTAATTAATTGTAAACACTGATTGCATTTGCTGTGATGAGAGATGGCGGGTGGATTGGGGAGGACTTCGTCCAGCAGTGGATTGACCATAGGAGATGATGATTAAATAATGAAGATGATTAAAATTTTCATGGATGAGTGGATCCCAGTCACAGAAGACATCCAGTCCCCCAAAGGGAATGTCTTTATTATTTGTGAATGATGGAGCTCGGGGGAATGTGGGTCATGCTGGAAAGTTATTGAACTCCGTGTGAGGTTTCTTCCATGAGTTTTGCTGAAACTAAAATTAATATATTTTACGCGCTGGGAAGAAGCATATTGCAACAACTATCGAAAAATCGTCTAATAACATTATTATGAAATATAAATACACAAACATTAACAGTGATCACCATGAAGACAGGAAAAAAGATATGACGGAACTTTTTAAAAAGGAATCAAACTGTCAAATAAAACACACGGGGATTACTTATGCACTGTGATTGGAAAAAACGAGGCAGTGTGAATTTTCCATAAATCCCACATTATTTTAAGCGAGGCCAACAAAATTACAGCCACGTGAAGCTAATTTTCCATGCAGTTTGGTTGCTAAGCGTTACCCATTGCGGGTGCTCTGACAAGCCCAAGCCGTCTCAGCCTGCCACAGACACTCTGAAAAATCTCTTTACTGAGAAGAGACCAATTGACTAAGCTTCCAACGTCTCACCAACATCTCACCAACGTGCCATCACTAGCCAACACAACACTCAAGCGCATACTCCTTTTACATTTTTTAAGCAACTGAAAAACCACACTGCGCTCATTTGCCTTTACTTAAAACTCTTTCAAGGAAAAGTTTTTTTTTCGTGAACGGTTTAACTTGATTGACTCCAGAAACACGTCGGCACAAAGGTGAGTTCCGAGCAAAGAGACCTGCAGCCAGTAGTAGGACAGCGACCAGCCACAACATGCGACCGTTTTCCGGCGGGGATTTTTCAAGTTGCGCCACAAGTTGAACTTTTCAGTTCAGTTCCCGAAGAAGAAGATCCTACCCGGTACGTGGAGCGAAACGTCGGACATTATGTCAAGCAACATTAAAATACATTGGGCAGCTCTACAGAACAACTGTGAAGACCTACAGAGTAGCAATCGTTTTGTCCAGCGAAGGGTGTGAAGGCGTTGCCATGTATGGAGCTTGGGAGTGAGTGTGTGTGTGTAGCGGCATGTTTACAAGAGAGTGCCGGGGCTGTCAACTCCAAGGTACGCCAATGTGAGCGAGTGTGTGGGAGTTGTGTGAGTCTCCATGTGGCTGTGGGGAGCGAGCAGGGCGGTGAAGCAGTGAATTAAGTGGTGAGCGCACTGCGCTAAACCCCCAGCGAACCTGAGTTTGAGTCGCGGCCACAGCTAACACATCAGTGCCAAGTGAAATCTGCACCAGTGCTGGGCCTCCCCAACAACAACAACAGCCGTGACGGCACCACGGCAGGAGGTCACGGGGACAGACCCAGGTGCCCCCACCACACACTCGGCTGACTCAGCCTAAAAATGAGTATCTGCAGGTGCGGTGTGTAAACATCAGGCCTTAATAGGTGTTCGCTAATGGGACTTGCGCACCAGTCTGGTAAATGCAATAAAGGGGGCAAAGGGGGTATGGGGATGAGGTGTACTGGGTGTGCACTCGTGTGGAAGTTCCTTACGAGGCTTGAATGCACACAAAAGGTGTGACACTTCGCAGTACTAAATTTGCCTGGTTGAAAAACAAAGACCCTAACACCTGTGTCTGGATGATTACATTGGTTGTAATGTTTAAAATCATCTCAATTCCTTAGTTTTCATGACAGACAAAGAATCCAGAAAGTAAAAAAAATACAAAAGTTTTCCCATACTAGTTCATGGTTTTTCTTGAGAAAAATATGTATTACTTTGCAACAAAAATAAAATGTATAAAATGAAAAACTGTAATGCCGTCAAATAAAATAAAACACACACACACAGGCCAAAATATGATGCAATGCTCACAGCCCCATGTCTGGGGGGTGGTGAATCGAGGCCAGGCCCATTATCGCACACACACACGTGTTATTCGTTACACTGAAGGCACACAGCTTGGTGCAAACTCACAATGCTCTCCAGCTACGTTTTAACAAAAAACTAACTACGAAGCAGCAGCATCCACTTTTGGTGCAAGAACGGGATGGCTTCTGCAGGGCCATGAGGGATGCGACCTTTTGTAAACAAAGGCAAGCGCTGGGCCTGCATTGTTTGGATAACCTTATCTTAAAGATGTTTCTACCAGTGTTGGGAGAGAATGGAATCGGTTGTTCTGTACAGCTTCTTTCATACATTTCGGGTTGTACCGCGTGTTGTTCGACACGGTGTCTAATGTTTTGCTCCACCACGTGCTGGTGGTGGTGGCTTCTTCAACTGAATATTCAGTTCCAGAAGCACCGTGTTGGAACGTCAGACATTGGGCCGAACAATACACACGCACGATACAAGCCGGAAACACATTGGAGAGTTTGGGATCACGTTTTGGCAGTTTTGTTTACAAGTAGCTGTGTACAAAAACAAGTTGTCAAAACCTACCCAGTGATTACGAGCACATGCAATCATCAAATGATGTATTGTATGTAGGAGGTGTGGCAGAAGTGCACCTCTGCAGGCATTTGCGTCCCTCCACCAGACCAAACAATTAAACTACATACTATTTACATTTTACAAGATTAGGTCCACCGAACTATATAGCTGTTTTTTAGAAGCGACCTGGCCACAAATGATAGCTCAACTAAGTGGTTTATAATGCAGAAATTAAAAAAGCCAAATACTCTAAATGCATGTTTCTAAATGTTGAGGGAAAAACCGGAGGACCTGAAGAAATATCCACGCGACCAGGACGGGGTTAGCATGCAAACTCCAAAAATACCAGCTGTCAGGGTCGGGATTGAAGCCATGCCCTCCGCTATACTAGACAATGGAGGTAACATCTCACCACCGCCTGTTTGCGACCGGTGCACTGAAGCTTGTAATGCTCTTGGATTTTATTACGAGAACAGAGGCCATAAAAATTGTAACATTGCTAATAAACCTCCTACAAGGGTGTGTGGGTTTTGTGAGGCCAAAGTAAATGAGTTTCCTCTTTTTGGAAGTCACTCCTTTAACAAAGACAAAGATCCCCCGTTTAGCCTGAACAGACTGTTGGGGCAAGTGCTGTTAGCGAGCACCTATGAAGACCGGCACGGCTCACGAGGGGATGGGTGGCCTGCACCACGCCCGGCCGCCTTTGTCTCCCTAGTGATGTTTACACACCGCACCAAGTACTCATTTGAGGCTGAGTCGACCTAGGGGAGGCCCAGGACCGGTTCAGATAATCGTCACTGGTGTTGGCCTTGAGCGGGAATCGAACTCGGGTGGCCGGGTTCATAGCGCAGCGCGCTAACCACTACACTACCGCTCCCCATCTACACACACAGACATACACACAAAACTCCACTTCAGGTACAACTCTACCGCAAACATCTGTGTGGAACAGCGGCGGTCAAGTGACGAACAAGCCACGTTAGGGCACGTGACACGTCAAATCCTAAAAACAGCGTGGCATTTGGGATTCGGTATTGGGACGCGATCCAGCCATAATCAGTGCAGCGGCAGATGGAAAACATCTCGCATGCAGCAGTTGTTTCATTTGGCAAGGCACCGGGGCTCCGAGGACGGTGCTGGCTCCGTTCTCCCCATTACGGAGCCTCTGAGCAGCAGAGTCCAGATATTTGAAAAAAATATCTGCACTGCACTTTTAATCGTTACGAGCCTCGCTTTGGTTCTTAGAAAAAAAAATTCTCGTTTATTTTCGTCTCTAGAAAGGGGACTGGGTACAACTGCGGCGTCGGTGAGTTGACCCCCGCTCCCACCCAAAGTGAACGATCGCGGCTCAATGAGCCTCAGTTGGCCCAATGACGGCTCGTTGCTCTGGGAACGCAAAGAGAGGCGATTAATGTGTTCAAAATTAATCTCAAATCGTGCGTAAAATTGCGGGCTTGATGAGGGATAAAATGTGGTGTTAGAAAAACGTCTCTGTTCGCATGATCCAGATGTAGACGGGTTGCGAGTTCATTTGTTTTATTGGTACTGTTCAAAATTAAAACCCGAAACAGGCAGACGTATGATATGAGGGGTGGTGCTGCTTGCAAATTGGGCACACATTGTTCTGGATAAATGTCGAGCTTAAGCGGAAGATCTCTATTAATGGTGCAGGAATTTGCCCTCACGGTGATCCAATGATTTGCCAAAATTCAAGGTCATGATTCAATTGAAAAAGTTATTTATTTTCATAACATTG